CTATGGGAATCATCACTGGTCCTCCTATCCAAGGAGGTCAGACGTGTCAGGGCGAAGTCTAAGTTGTATTTTGCGATCGGAAACCAAAATGAGTTATGTAGCACCCGAACGACGTCGTTGTGGATCGAGTCGGGAACGAGCCTCTCTTTAAACTATTGAGCCCCGCCAAGCCCGCTTTTGTGCCGAGTAATCGTGATTAGTACGTGATACACCGACAATATTTCAAGAAAGTCCGACGTGCTTTGCAGAAAAGACTACTAGCCGCCGCCGCTTCCCCAAAGACCAGAGCTCTTCCACACGGTTAACTCCTCGTTCTCCCTTCCTTCCTTCAGCCCCTGTTCTCGCGCACGAACTGCTTGTGTGGAGGGGAGAACGAAAGCGAAAGGCTACCTTTCAAATGCTCGCAACCGCCTCCCCTTCCGGACTCTCAGTCGGCAGGCGCTTGAAACACTTCCGACTCTCGTCGCCACGCAGTATTTCCCTGGGTTGGCGAAAAGAAAAAAATATTCCGAGCCGTCTGTTTGCCCGTACCCCACGTCTCGGGAATGCCTCCAGCCGCCAGCTTGGTCCTCTTTCGCTTAGACTTCGCCCACACTCCGTTTCCGTGTCAAGAGTTCCATTCCCTGCCAGTTCCCAAACTCGAAACACTCCGGCCGGGTTGAGCACACGTTGGCTCCGTTCTCTCCCGAGCAAATTTCTTTCTCTTCTCCCAACTGTAGGTCTCGTTCGGCGCTAGCTCCGTCTCGCGTTCACCTTGCCCGGCTGGAAACTCGCTGAGGCTCTAAGTTCAAGCTTGTTCCGACACACGTTCTCCATCTCGACATTTGCCTCCTCCTCCTCCCCGTTTGAAGGTCCCTCTTCTCTCAAAGTTCCGCTCCTGGATGTTACTCACACCTTCGAGTCTCGCTGCGAAGTGACTTCGAGTGCCCACAGAGTCCTCCTCGCTCTGCACTGTGCAAAGTGCTCTGATGGAACTTGTTGCCAGGAGAAATCGAATGTTGATTTATGAAATTACACTGTCGGCCGGCCCGCTTGTTCCCCACGACCGTCGAACTCTCCTCTATCATCCTCTATTCTTGCCTAGACTTGCACTTACGGACACGCGTTCCGCGGAATAGCTGCGGCGAGGAGCCCACAAAAGCAAGGCTGGGAGAAAGAACGGTGGTGGTACTGCTTTTACCTCATGAGCTATGCAATGACACCGTGCTTAGGGATTACTGTCCTGGACGCTTGGTAGCTTGCAACGATGAGGTCGTTGGCGACGATGAAGACGCCGAGAAATTCCCGCTCATTTGACGTCAGCCAGCTTATTGCATTCCGCTTCGTTGCTGACTCAGAACTGGTATAAGGTCCGCCGACCGCCGCCACAGCGGGGGCTGCTCCTGGACTCAAAGCGGTCAGTAGCGACTCATACGGCGACGGCTATGCAACCACGAGAAGCGTCACGAACACTCGTAGAGCGAGCGAGATTGCGCGGATCAAGAGGGAAGAATTACGCACGCAGTCAGTCAGTCTCTGAGATTAATCACCCCACGCGATGTTTCCGACTGACTCCGGGGGAAGCGGGCGAGCTCGAAATGTTTACCTTCGGATAGGGTCGGGGGGATGTTCAGGCCTTGCTTAGCACCCCATGAATACACGAGCTACCAACGATCAGGGAACCATGAAATTCAATTCCAGGAAACCGAGATGACAATGCAATCGGCGGGAGGCGCTCAATATCTCTCTTTGAGACCACGCAGGCTGGGCTGTAGGACATGGCAGGCTCTAAAGGTGAGGACACGTGTGGAAGTCCATGAGCATCTGCGATTTTTTTTCTTTTCATTTCAAGTCATTTTCCGAAAGCTCTCACTCCTACAGGATACCCTCCGTGAACGATCGAACCGAGCTCGGATCAGACCCCCGGACCCTGATAGTGTTTTGCTCGTGTCGACTGAGGACACTGGTTGCACTTCCGACAAACTCCGGCGATTCGTTATCTCCATCCGTTCGCGGGTGTTCATCAAGTCCTCCAGCTTGATGGTCGTCGTCATCAGTATCGTTATCGAGAGAAGAGAGACCACTGCCGTAGGCCAAAAGAGATATCACAACGACGCGAGTAATAACAGAGCATCATCCGCGACGATACGATTAGAACGCGAAACCTGCGAGGGACATCTTAGGCAGAGTTGAAGAGCTTCTCCGCGCAGCGGAGCAAAAAATATGCTTTGAACGGGACGTCCTCAACAGAGCATGTGAAGGATTATGTAAGGGGGGATAAATGACCGAAAATTTCTGGACTGAAATAATCGGAAAATTCGACACAGAGTAATCTTCCGACCACAAGATCGAGGAACAGGATGGAGTTTTGTAGGAAGTATCTGGAAACTCTCCGAGAATCGGGAGTGGCCCTCCCAGAGGGACTCCCCGGCACATCTGCTTCTGCGCCCTGGATCTCAGCTCCTATTATCTCTTGTGAGGAACCTGAGGAGCTGTAGGTCTGCCGCATGGGTAGAGACATTCTGTCGCAGCTGGGTGGGGATTTTCCCGCTTTCTCTAAGTGAGTCTCGGACGACTTTCGGCTCAAATTTAAAGTAAATAGGAGCGAGGAGCTTTTTTGGCTCCAAGCTCGGTAAACCACCCCGGCGCTAAAATAAACAGCGCGCGGTTGAAAATGAGAAAAAAAGTGAGATGGCTTTCGGGAAGCTGGAAGCGGGCTCTCATCTCACCGGAACGGAAGCGTTTCCCTCAATCCTCCCATTGCTTCGAGGAAAAATTTCAGGGAAGAAGATGTCGAGCGCTACGTGCCAACTGTCGGATGACAGGAGCCACCCGTTGCAGTTATCAGTCAGGATCCGGCGTGCGATGGACTGGTCATTCGGCGAGAGACGTCTTTCTTTGCCGCGGAGAGTTGATGGAACGTTCTGTTGTGGGTTGTGGGCCGCACGTTCCAATCTTCTATCCATGTTCCTCTGACTGAGTGAGTGGAATTCAAGGCTGAGGGAGAAATGTTGAAGCGAGTCGAGCTCCTGGGGGCAGAGACAGACTCGTTCGAGGAGAACATCCAGCGTGATCTGCGCAGCCCCGCGGAGAAAATATAGTGTTCATGTCAGAACCGCTGTTGGAGGAGCCGTCGTGAGATTTCCAAAATTGAATATATTTGAATTTGTTTAGGTTGCGAGAAGCGACCGGGACGAGAGCGCGGCCGAGAGGGAGGAAGCAGCCGAAGGGAAAGAAAGAGAGCAAATCGGTCTTGCGGAGAAATCACCTCTTGCTCATACGAACAGACTTCACGTCGCTGAATTCTAACATGTTTGATGATGATGATTGCCTCAAGCCATACAACCATTCCCAAAGTCTGCTGAGTTCTCGGGGGCAAGGGCCGAAGATGAAAATCGCTCCGCTGAAGGGAGTGCTCCTTGGAAAGGAGAAAGAGATGTATCGCTGCGTTCATGTACTCTTGGCATGAACCATCCGAATGACGGATTCCACTTCCAGATGATTTCTTCCATCTGAACGGAGCCCCGAAGGATCTTGACACGCCTCCAACGAGGATGTCTCCTCGATCGAGTCCTTCCAACCCGGCAGCGTGCGGTACAACGAGGGTTCTGAGTTTTCGCCCTCAATTAGGCCCACCGTCCATCACGTGTCAATCGCCCAACATCGTTGCATGCGCTTCAGCTGCCGTACTACACACGATATGGCCTGCGAGACTGTAATTGTTTCGGACACCGTGACGCCGAGATCCGAATTCTCGCCACTCCAGCCAGCGTGACGGTGGTCCTGTTTTATCGCACTCTGCGATACAGAGCATCATCAGGAATATCGCTCGACTCTCGGTCATTTCCAAATTGCATCGAGCCGACCCCCTCGAGGGCACCTCTTGCTCCATTAAAGTTCCTGCCGCATCGATCGACCGGTTCTGTTCCTTCCCCTCGGCCCTCCCCGCAGCTTCTACAAGTTTAAGATAGCGTCACGCATTTCTCCGATCCGCGCAGTTGATAGCAGCGCGAGAACCTCGGGAAACTTTTTTGCGAATCAAAACAATGAAGTACTCGTCAACATCCTAGAGAGTTAGCATAGAAAACCTTCCAGATTCATCCCAATAAAACTCACTACTAGACGATCGCCAGCCGGGAGAAAATCGGCAGAAGCATTGTCACTGATTCCCCAGGTGAGTCGACCTGGACTGCAGACAGAGTTCCATCGGATTAGGCCGTGGACAAAAATTCTAGTCCCAAATCACTAGTCTAGTCATATCGACCCGTCGTGCCAACGATGCGGAGCCTGGAGGACGGGTCACGCGAGAATCGATCAACGAATTATGATCGGGACGAGTTTCGAGTTGAAGTACATGATTGGCGCGAAACCTGTCCCCATCGAGCCGGGTCACCGTAAGACAGTCGTTGATCGAGCCTCGTGCTGGAGTCTTTCCAGGAACCAGAAAAAAGTAGAAGGACACTCCGAAGATGAGGAGCGCCAAGGAGCGAGCGTCGAGGAAATCGGCTAAGACGAAATCCGATGGTAAGAAATCCGACTCCAAGATATCCCTCAAGGCGCAATCCAAGGCGAAAACATCTATTCCGGAGAAATCCGCTGCGCAGAAAGCAAATTCGAGAAAGAGATCGAAAACCGCTGCCCGAAGGAGCATCCGAGGGAACACTCTCCCGGGAGAATCAGTTTCAAAATTGTCTGCACAAAAAGCGATCACAGCAAAATCTGTCTCGAGAAAGACACAGAAGAAGGCGAGTGCAAAGAAGTCTGCTCCAGAAAGGGCAGTCCCGAGGACGATCTTCTCGGGAAGTACTGCTCCGAAGAAACCACTGTCTCGGAAGCCATCATCGGGGAAAACCGCTCCCGGGGAAACACAGCCGAAAAGAGTCGTTTCGAGATCAGCTCTGAAAAAGAATGCTTCAAAGAAAGCGACTCCGGAAAAATTTGGCCACGGAAAAGTGAGTTCCAAGAGGCCGGTTTCAAGGAGACTTTCGTCGAATAGAGCCGTTTCGAAAAAAGTGGCGTCCATGAGACTTCCTTCGAAGAAGCCCGCATCGAAAAAACCGGCGTCGGGGAAACCGGGTTCTAAGAAACCCTTCTCGAGAAAACCGGGTTCTAAGAAACCATTCTCGAGAAAACCGGCTTCGAAAAAGATGGCTCCGAAGAAACCGGTCTCGGGAAAGCCGGTTCCGAAGAAACCGGTCCCGGGAAAACCGGTTCCGAAGAAACCGGTGGCGAGGAAATCGGTCTCCAAAAAACCGGTTCCGAGGAAATCGGTCTCTAAGAAAACGGTTGCGAAGAAATCGGTCTCTAAGAAAACGGTTTCGGAGAAATCGGTCTCGAAGAAATCGGTTTCTAAGAAGTCGGTCTTTAGAAAACCGGTTCCCAAGAAATCGGTCTCGAAAAAACCGGTATCTAAAAAATCGGTGTTGAAAAAAAAGGTTTCGCAGAAACCGGCTTCAAAGAAAACGGTTTCAGAGAAACCAGCTCTAGGGAAAACAGCTCCTGTAAGACCGGTTCCGGAACAGGCGGCTGCGAACGACGCGACTTCCGAAAAGCAGCTCCCGGAAGATCCGGCTCCCAGGAAGTCGACCCCCAAGCAACCAGATTCGACAGATCCGGTTCCGGAAAAACCAAGCTCCGTAACACCTTTTCCGAAAGAACAGGCCCCGAGAAAATTGACTCCGAAAAAGACGGCTCCGACGAAACCGAGTTCTAGAAAAGCCGCTTCGAAGGAGCCCGCTCCGCGGAAAAGCCTGTCGAAGAAGGTAAAAAAGGTGTCGAAAAAGAAAGGATCTCCGGGGAAAGGCGCAAAAAGACAAATTCTCGCAGGTGAGAGGAGAGCCGAGGGCAAGAAAGCAATCGCCGATATGTCCCCCGTGATCTTCGCTGCTTTCGATCCCACGGCTGCGCCCATACTCATCACTGGTTCTTTCCGGGCTCCCGCTCGCCCCGCTAGCGACCCCCAAGCTCGTCCCGCCACTGATCGTCGAGTCTGCCCTACGAGTGACTGCCGAACTAGAATTCCCAGTGACCCTCATGCACATGCTCCTACTGACCCCTCAGCACCCGCTCTAGATCGTCAGACGAAGCTCCCCGCTTCCGGAGCCGATACCCATCCCCGAGAAGATCCTCCCGACAGCCCCGAAAATCATCCTCTCGGCTACCGCCCGGTTCCTTTCCCCGAGTATCATCGAGCCCGCGGCCCCATGCAGGCTCAAGCGAGTGCTCCATCTGATCCTAAGGTTGTCGCGCCGGGCGACACTCACGTCCCAGTCCCGATCGGACCTCAAGCGCGAGTCTCGAATGGACCCCAAGTTCAGGGACCGAGTGTACCTCAAGTTCGGGCACCGAGTATACCCCAGGCTCGGGTCGCTCATGAACCTGGAGCTCGGACTCAGACTGGACCTGAAGCTCGAGTCCAGGATGAACCTCAGGCTCGGGCTCCGAGTGAACCTCAAGCTCCCGGTGTACCTCAGGCTCAAGGTCCCAGTGGTCCTCAAGCTAAAAGTCTCGTCAGTGGTCCTCATGCTCCCGGCGAGCCTCGAGCTCGTCTCAGTGCTCCTCTCAAGTTTGCCAGTGGTCCTGAGGCCGAAGATCCCAGAAGAGGTCTTAGTTGTCCTAAAGCTCTCGATGAGCCTCGAGCTCGTCTCGATGCTCCTAAGGCTGAAGGGCCCAGTGGTCCTCAAGCTCGCGCACCGAGTGATATTCAAGCTCGCGCACCGGATGTCCCTCGAGCCAGAGTCCCCAGTGAACCTCAAGCCAAACCTCCCAGCGGACCTCAAACCAAACTTCCCAGTGAGCCCCAAGCAAAAGCTCCCACTGAACCAAGAGCCAGAGCTTCCTGTGGACCGCAAGCCAAACCTCCCAGTGGACCTCAAGCCAAACCTCCCAGTGAACCCCAAGCAAAAACTTCCACTGAACCCCAAGCCAGAGCTCCCAGTGTACCTCAGAGCAGAGCTCCCAGTGAACCGCAAGTTAGAGCTCCCAGTGAGCCGCAAGCCAGAGCTCCCAGTGAGCCGCAAGCCAGAGCTCCCAGTGAGCCGCAAGCAAGAGCTCCCAGCGGATCTCAGGCTAGAGCTCCCAGTGAACCTCAAGCTCGAGCTCCAAGCGAGGCGCAAAGTCGATTTCCCAGTGAGTCTCAAGCTCGCGCGCCATCCGAACCTCAAGCGTGTACCCTGAGTGAACCTGAAGCACGGACCTCGAGTGGAGCAGCAGCCCGTGTTCCGAGCGAGCCTCAAGCTCTCTTGCCCAGCGCACCTCGATCCCGTGAGCCGAGTGAAGCTCAACTCCGCGCTCAGGAAGAGCCTCAAGTTGATTCGCTCGGTCAACTCCCCGCTCCTTCTTCGGACGACAACCCTGCGATCCCTCAGAACTTCGTGCCTGCCATTCCAGATATTTATGGCTATGCCGATCTCCAGAACTACGGGTTAGCTCGTCAGGATGCTCACGGTGCTGCTCGTCAGGATACTTACGGTCCTGCTCCTCAGACCTACGGTCCGATGCGATCATATGGAGATCCTCAGTCTAACGCCCCCATCCGAACCTACGTCAACACCCCAGAATATGCTGGTTACCCGATCCCTGCTCCAATGCAACCTCGATTCACAGCGGACCCTTGGGCTCATCTTGGATCCCGGAGCCAGACCCCTATGCTGAGCTCGATCAGGAGTGCCCGACCTCCTTCCCACGCACGATCTCCCGATCAGGCCGCGATCCAAACTTCGTTTCTGCGTCATGCGCCCAGTCGGACTCCGTTCCCGCGTCAAGCTCCCACCAGAACTTCGTTCCTGCGCCGAGTTCCCCCCCAAGTTTCGTTGCTGCGTCCAGCTCCCCCTCAGCTCTCGTTTTTGCGTCCAGTTCCCCCTCAACTCTCGTCTATGCGTCCAGCTGCCCCTCGAGCACCGTTCCTGCCAAGTGCTCCAACTTCCTCCCTGCGTCCAGCTGTCACGCATAATAATTCATTCATGCGTCACGCTCCCGCTCAAAGTCCTCATTTCGACCATCCTCCCGCGGGAACTTCATTCGTGGCTCGTGCTCCAGCCTATTGCCAGTTCCAGGCTGGATCTTACGCACACTCTCCGTACCGGCCGTATGGCCCTCCCCGAGCCCACCCTCTGGCTTTCGTTCCTGCCCACACATACCCAGGCGGAGCCCAACTCCAGAAATTCTCGTACCCTCGGGCTCGTGCGTATCCCCCAACTGGAGCCGTTTTCCAGCATCGATTCTTCGCTTATCCTCGCGCCTTCGATCCAGTTCGAAACTTCAATGCCGCTCCTGACTGCGCTCCCGCTCCCTTCGCTCCCGAAGATTCTCAGTGCACGACGGACCGAGTCTTGGACGGTCACGACGCTTCGCAAGTCCGACCCGTCCCTCCGCTTGAGACCCAGCCTCCTGCCGCCGCCGCCGCCGCCGCCGCCGTCTCATCTAGGTCTTCCGAAGCCGTCCGCAGTGAGGCTGTCCATCCAGAAGAGCCGACGGCACCGACCCAACGAGACGCAGATGATTACGCACCGGCCGCTTATGCAACATACCCCGCCGTACCTTCTAACGACCCACAGAACGTGCCAGCGTACCGCGAGGTCGCTTCCCAAGATCCCTATGGATATCACGATGGTGCCACATACGATCAGGGAGCGGCTCGAGCCTACCCTGGTCTAACCGCCGAGCAGACAGAATTAGCTCAAGCTATCCGTGCTCTCGCACTGGAAAATCCACAAGTGGCTCAGGCGTTCCCAGCCTTCGCCGCCCAGGATGCGGATCTAGCCGAGGCGTTCCGTGCCTTGACTGTCGATAATCCGCATGTCGCCCAAGGGTTCCCTACCCAGAATCCGCAGGCGATCCAAACGTACCCCGCTGTGTACGCGGATAGTTCGCAAGCTCAAGGATACCCCGCGATGTTCTCAGATGCCACCCAAGCAGCTCAAGCATGGCCCGATACTGTAATCCAGGATCTGATCGCGGCTTTCGAGCAGTCCAACCAGGGATCGAACCCTCTTCTACCAAGGCTGGGCGACGGGAACGCCACGACCGATCCTGGGGTTCGACAGTATCCTGGGTAGAGAGGTGAGCGATGAGATTTCGTTCTGCCCAAGAGGTTCGGGAGGAGCAGGGGCGTCTGGAGCGAAAGTATTGATCTGGTCGCCCTCGGTTCACGCGCTTCATAAACTCTCCAGCAATCCCGGACAGCTTTATTCAAGCCGAAATTCACCCTGAGAGCCATCCCTGGACATGAGAGATGAGCATGAACAAGAAGAACGAGTATCCGTCTTCGAATTGTCCTGATTTTCGGACGGGGCGTTCGCTTGGGAGTCTCTCGAGCGTCATCTTCGGAACAACATCGCACAGGCCATAAATTCTGTTTGATACCGAACGTATTTCTTTGCCCGAATCGACAGCCCCCTGAACATCAGGCGGTCCTCGCGGTTACCAGAATAGTACAAAAAAAGAAAATTACTCTTACGGGATATCGAAAGGGGACGAAGCTGACCACTCGATTTCATGAGACGAATCGGTTAAGTCTTGATACGCTCAAGCTCTTCGCTCCGCGTTACTTCAGCCCATGAGAAGTTAAATCCTGAAATCTTTGAAGGCTATAAGGAATTATCGAAGCCGTAGGCCTCGCGGACATGCGGGGCTGGTCGCCCCGATCACGAGCGGCAGCAGACGGCTAAGAGGCGTGATATTCCAGGAATACACTTGTTCGCGTCACGACATAGGAATATTATTAAATATTATGCTTTGGTCGCGTCACGGCCGTTAATAATTATGCCTGACGGTACGATCACCATATGTCGCCGTCGATCTTAGGGTCCACGAACCAGGCAGTTACGGTCACGGATGGTGAGGGTCTTTTGGTCAGAATCATCTGCTGAGGTAGAGACAAGCCAGAACTCACGGGACCCCAGATTGAAATTCCTGGTGGAAATTCTATGGGCAGAGGTTCGGGATTGGTAAAGGATTTCCGTTGTCAACATTATCTCGGTCTCTATTTTCCGTTGTTCCTCTGTACAATCTCTCGGGTACGCTAGTCTCGAAGATGGTCGTCTTGGCTCCTGGTGGAAATCTGACGGTAGCCAATTGCTGAGCATTGTCCATCGACGATCGACGAACCGATCGACGATCTGAAGACATTGCTTCCGACTCGCTGTGTCTCCCGACTTCTTCATATCGTGACGAAAAACGAGTTACGGGGGACCAAGGAAAAAGCTGCGTTCGTTACCCACAGGAACGACAGGGCTCAATCATCACTTAACGAAGACGACGCCGCACCGGCGCCGTCATGTCGTCGCCCGGACGACCGGAAGCCGGACGGAGAAGAGAAGCGCAAATAAGAGCGAATATGTACAAGCAGTGATCACCGTTCGGAGGTATTATGTGCCCTCGTGCTCGCATGCAAGCTGTTGTCTCGGAGCGAGCCTCTGAACGCTCCGAGCGTGCCGCCGTTCCGCACTCATTGTTACGAAGGCGCCGATTGCTGGGCCGCGATCATATCCACGCCATGCTCTTCCCTCGATCGTTTCCTCGGGGCCGGAGTTTGACAGAGGCGAGGCTCCCTCGCACATCTTCCGAAGGGCTTGATACGTATCCACGTCAAAATATTCCGTTCCAATCTCAATGAATTCTCGCTATTGATAGTGTTTTCCCCCTCGGCTCCCCGTCGTCCCTCGACTCCATCTGTTCCGCACTATCACCGTTCTCTCCCCGTTCCCCATCATCCTCCTCGTCCTCCTCCTCCTCATCAACCTTCTACTCCTCTGGAAATTCGGGAACGTCCTCCGCCAAGAATCCGAACACGGCCATTGAATCAGATGGGAGTAAGCGGCTCGAAAATGAAAGATGGAAATCTGGGAAGGTAATTTTGGACCGTCGTAGATTTCGTGATCGTTCGTCGCCAGCAATAATTTTGTTCTTCTCTCCGAAGATGCCGATCCATTGAAAGTCCGTTCAGACTGTCATCTTGGACTTGGGTAATGGCATCGAGCTTCGAGAATGAGAATCCGAGAAGGGGCGACCATTCCACAGCATTCATCGTGTCCACTGCGTCGCGGGGGTTCGCCGGATCGGGGCTAGTGGGGCATCGGTCGATCGAATGTAATAGACAAGGAGGCGGCCCGATCCAGGCGACGACGCGCGACGTCGGCAGTACCTATATGAAGGGAGCAGCCAGCTGAAAAGGAGGAGAGATCGACTCCTCTAGTCGTAATTGGAGCGGAAAGCTGCTTCGGGATTCGTTCCCTCTCGTTCCCTCTCGTTACGCTCGTCTACGTCTCGAGAACAATCAATAAAGAGAGCGATCACAAAAGATGCACGAATTCAAAAGCAGCACCAGCTCTCCACACGCTCAGAAGAAGGGAGCCACGCAGAAGGAGCTACGCAAAGTGACTCCACGAGTTCGCCGACCGAAAGGGTCATCGCTGCCATACGCAGCATTTGCGACAGAATTCAAATCTGGCCTACGACGGTCTCCTCGCGATCGATATCGGGAAGTCCCAGACCTCGATGAAAAACCGGAACTCACAAAAGTACGCTAACGACGATACCGCAACCTGCTCCCGGAGTCGTTCGTCCCAGGACAAAATTCCTAGAGATGCACGGCGTTTTCTGATCGTCTGAAGGAGGAAACTCGAGAGTGACCCTCACAGCTGGAAATTCAAGGCAACGCACAGATCAAGACCGCGATATCCACAGGAGTACCGCGAAAAAATTCGCTAGATTTCAGGGGACGTACGAAAACGTCATTCGTAGTCTCGTGAGCCGATCATCGCGGCGAAAGACGAAACGAACATATGTGGGAAAACCGCTTGAGTTCGTTCTGAATAGCGTCGGGGCATGAGTTCTTTCATTCGGACCTCACCCCATGCTCTGTGATCCTCTCGGAGCGCTCATACGGTAGTTCGACTCACGACAGAAATTCCTCAATTTCTCCGTTCCCGCTGCGGTCGACTTCGGGAGAGCTCGAAGGGATCTTCCTGCGTTACCCGCGCTGCCCACGTCTCCGTACGCGTTGCGAAAGGGATTGCGATCACGCTTCCGATGTTGAACTGGCTTGTGACAAATACCGAAAAGGTCTTCGGATGGAGCATTCCGATATCCCGGGAGACTGAGCTCGGAATTTCGTAAGCGCTTCAGCTTGATCTCGACGACGCTGCAGCAATCGTGGAACTGGTTTCTCCACGCGGTGTGAGCAACGGTTGACTCTCCCCATTCTCGGACGAGCTCGCGCGAAATGCTCTCACGGAGCTTCCTGCTTCTCACGGAGTGGTTTCTCGAGGAATAGTAATCTCTCGAGAATCCAAGCGTGACCGAGACCTGTAGACGAGCCTCCATGATCCCCTCGACTTCGAGAAAGTTTGGATATCAACGATTCAAAATCAGAGTTTATGACTCCCGAAACGCCTGAATAATTCCTCGAAGACTTTATAACCCACACTTTTTTTCGGGCGGAACCACACAGCCAAGGTTTAACGTCTCGGGTACTGTTATTCACATTGCTTCCGAGGACGGATCCATAGAGCAAATGTACCCAGGAGGATCGAGGCCGAGTACCTGCGTTTCCGGAAGGAATATTTTTCCGGCAGCAGGGATCGAGCCCACACCGCCCCCGCGCGAGTGGCGTCGTTGCGGAATTTCACGAAGTGAAACGTACGTTTGCACGAGTAGTGACAAACGCGCTGACCACTCGACCGCCCTTCGGTTGAGACTTTATAACCCGGGCGGCAATAACATTCTCGGAGACGACGTTGAATACGACTCTCTGAGTGAGTGAGTGGCTCGCGGAGCGAAAACCCCCGTGAGCTCTGCATTTGCGTCTCGTCCGTGTAGGGCAACGCTCGGCTGAATCTGTTAGTGAATGAGCGAGTGGTTTGCGCCGAGCCCGGACGGCACGTGTACCTTACCTCTAATCGCCACAATGATAAGACTCGACGTTACGACACGACGTAGCCGTCGATGTCGTTCGAGCTGAGGAACGATGGCACCCCGCGTACGAGACCCTAACTGCGAGGGTGTTCCACGCGTCGCCCCTCTACGGCTGGTACACTTCCGCAGCTTGGAGTTCCCCCGAAGCATCGCATCGGAAGAATTACGGGTGGGAAGGACTCTAATCGAAATGGGAGTTGTCGAAAACATGGATCGTCCAACGCTCTCGGAGAACGGGGGGGGGAGAGGGGGGAATTTCGTCTCTCGAGAGAAATCCGCACGGAATGCTCTGTCAAGTTTTTGTTGTCTCGGGCACTCGTTAAAGCGAGCTCAACGTTTCCGTCACCGAAATACCGTTGGCACATGCCGCCCTTTCCACTCTCGAGTCAACGCAGCCCTCAATTTGTTTTACGAGAAGCCTTCAGCCCCACGGGATCTCGTTCGCGGATGGTCGGTGAAAGGAGCACCGTGCCGGGGACCGAGTCTGATCTAACAGTCGATAGCGTTATCGGTCTGGCGGGTGGGAGAGTGAGCTGACAAATCGCTCTGATCGCGGCTACTCTGTCGCTTGCGTCCTTAGTAACAAAAGCAACAGGAGAATGGATTCGACGAGAGATCGGCGGAAGGTGGACGGTAGCTAAGGGAAGCCTCTCATTCACAGCGTGCAGCGCTAATCTCTGGGCCGATAAGCCAACCGTTGACGCTTGCGGCATTGGCATAACCCATAAATCGTCTGATCAATCTCATTCGGGGTGTCACGACTTTTCCGGATATGGAATCCGTGAACTACTTCCGACCTCCGAGGGAGAAGATCCATGGTACGGGGGTGTGAAGTCTCCCGTCATCTCCTCCGCGTCCAGGTATTGGCGTGGGGGGGGGGATGGAATTCCGGGAGCAACGAGGTGAACGAGACTTCGTGCTTGAGTCCCTCATATGAGTGAAGCCAACTTTGACGCGAAACGTGAGGAATGGCTCACCGATGACGGACGATGCGAATTATCAGAAGTTGAGCACCGGAAAAGTGCCATCATGGATGAGAAAGCTCTTTTCCTCCCCCCAATGGTTCGGTACCATCGATCCTCCGGCAACAGTCCTACTAATTACGCATTAGGCTGAATTATCACATATGATCTCAAGAGAT